ATAAAAACCTATTTATCCTAAATATGTTTATCTAAAAAATGACCAATGGAATTTATGGAAGTCAGAACTTTAACATTTCGTGGTGGTAATAGAATAAATAGGTTAATTTGGTCAGTTTTCTATTCCCTAAAAAGTTTTCTCTTGGGAAAAAATTGCTCTGGACCCTTATGGGTAGAGATGGATTTTCAAACTTGTCACTGCAATTACAATTTCTTTTAGCATTCATGTTTTGCCTTTTGGATAATATGAATTTTCAATGATATGGAAAACTTTGAATGGACGTTTAATTCTCCTCTACTTACTGTCACAGTGTAGCACAACAGTTTAGCGTCAATGTTGTTGACATGAGCAGAATTCCAGTTGCAGAGCGATGCTGAAATCAGAAGAAAACGCCCACAAATTCATGCACTCACACAAGATTTGTGAGATCCAGACAGTTTCTGGAGACATGAGCTGGTGAGCTGGACAGAGGAGATGAGCACAGTGGTGGAGACGTGATTCCTTCCGCTTGTCCGGTGGCTAACTCAATTAGCTTAGCAGAAGAATAAGACTGAGTAGGGCTCTTCTGCTCAGAAACTCTGCAAACAAACACACACAGAGAGCTGGACACAACTCTGCATGGGCTTTTGGCTCCTTTGCATGCACTCATGGACTTGTTTGTTACTTTGATTTGCAATGTCTCATACACATAGACATTTTTTAAAAGGATGCTGCATCTTATTTTTTACTTACTGTACTGCGATCATTTCCGGTTCAGGGTTTTATGCCAGATATGTTGGAAAATCCGACAATGTTGTGTCGAGCTAAACTATCCAAGTTTAAAAAAATGTTTTGGGACTTTGGCACATTAATCGTTGCATAATTTTGAAAAAAACTATAGATACAGGAAGCATTCCATTTTATACATAATAATCAGATTTGATGGGATTCTGGTGCAGAACGTGCATTAACGAGAATTAATCATTTAAAAAATGACAGTGCAGTCATCAGGCTTTTTAGCTGTGACATCTAACAATCCACAGATTAAGATTATGAATAGATTATTATGATTAGTATTATTTTATTTATTTGTCTAATGTATTTATTTATTTATCCCATTATCAAAGTATTGAAAGTATTATCATTTTGAGCTACTTGACTCATTAAATTTCTCTCACTAGGGGATTAAAAAAGTGGTTTTCTATTATAATTTTCCTGTTCAATTTAGTACATTCTGTTCTGGTTAATTTTCATTTCATTCTATTCCCCATACGTCTTGAATTTCCCTGAAGGAGTCAGCCATCCTTCATAATAAAGTCAAGTTTAAATCTGTATATTCCCTACAATAAATAGAATTAGTTTAGTTTAACTTTGTGAATCTCTGCACAGAACTTGAGCTGTGTTTTAAAAAAATATTTCCTATCATCTCTGATTCAACTCTTTCCCCTGTTGTAGTTTTTTAGCCCAAACATTATTTTCTGTTCTTCTTCAGCATCACACTTCCTGCTTTGTTACTAACTGCTCACTGTCCCCGCTCTTTGTTTTTAACTAGACGAAGACAAATCGAGTTTGTCGAGTCCCCACTAATCCCTAATCATTGTCTACTTATTTTTCGCCTGCTTGCGCTCAGATTAGTTTCTGTTTGGTTTCATTGGTTCTACGCGGTGCTTCTTTTGTTCTATGATGACGGTGTAAGCACAGGCCGCCTGTCTCACCTTTACCCTGCTAAAAAACAGACAATAGTGGAAGGTAGCAGCTAATTATTCATCTCGGGTGCGTTTCACTGCTTTGCACCTTTTAAAATATAAACAGGAATTGTTATTTTTTCACTTTCAGTTGGTGTTATATGACCTGTACACACAATTGGGTGAGCGGTCACTCAAGAAAGTCCATTTTAATTCTAAAATAATGAATCAGTCATCATCTTTTCTGTTTAATTAGCTTAAAACAAATATAAATCCGACATCTGAGATCAATATGTAGTCTTAACTGTTGTTGTAGGCATGCTGTTTCTGCTTAGGTTCACAGTCCTGTCTCTTTATTACTCTTTTGTCGTCCCCTTTATGAACATCACACGGCCGGCCATTTTTAAATACGTTGGGGGAAAACAAACAGGGCTTTTTGCATTTCCTGACAGCCATGTTGTCACTTAAAAGTTCATTAGTTTGTGTATTTGCTGAGACGCAGTTATACAGAAACATTGTGCGGTCCAGGGGAACATTTACACAAACTCAGGGTTTGATTGTGAAATAATTCATTTTTAGATTCTGTTAAAGTTCATGTTTATCCTGTGTTTTTAGCTGCACGCCAACAAACAACATTCACAACACTTATTCTGCTACACTATACGATCACGTGAACAGGAAGCTGGCATGTTCAGGTTGGAGTTAAATGGCCAATTACAATTCGGTGTTGCGAAGACCAGTTTTGCATTGTACGGGGCGGAGCTTAGCCCAAGAAGATAAATGTACCTGAGTGACGTGTATTCGGGGCTCTTTGGTGGGATCGCGTAGTTGAGACAACATTACCCAGAGAGTCCAGCGCTGTGATATTCTACTTGTGGCCGGAATAAATTCCATTCATTGCTAAAGATCTCTTCGGTTCATTTTCCAAGTCTCCATAAGGACCGGGAGGAATTAAGGTGGAGGCAGATACCTTAACAATTGTCTTCACCAAAGATGTGAAGTTTTAGATAAAACGTTTTTTTTTGCTGTACTTTGTTATTATAAGTGCTTTTTAGCTAACGCGATTAGCATGTTACTGGTGTAAATAAGCCGCACACATGCACACTGAGCAGCTTATTTGTCAGCATCCACGTTCAACACAGACCGAAAAAGATGAGGAATCATCTCCATCAATGATTTACAGCCTGTGCTCGGTGGGAGTGACTTCCCGGTTCAATAATGCTGTTCACATGTTTTATTTGAATAGATTTCATGTGGCTATATGGTTCAGAATAATAAGATTGGGAGGGAATACCATGTCAAAGCGATTTCACATAGAGAAACATCTCTAGAAGATCCTGAAGGACTCTACTGAGTTTCCTCAGTAAGTACGTCCCTTCTTTCCCTAGATATCTGCAGGACTCCACCAGTCCCCCCTTATTCAATTCAATTCAATTTAATTTTATTTATATAGCGCCACATCACAACAACAGTTGTCTCGCAGCGCTTTCCAAACAGAGCAGGTCAGACCCTACTCTGAAGTTAATTACAGAAACCCAACAATTCCCACCATGAGCAAGCACTAGGCGACACAGGCAAGGAAAAACTTCCATTTAACAGGCAGAAACCTCGAGCAGAACCATGGCTCAGGGTGGGTGGCCATCTGCCTCGGCCGGTTGGGGGTGAGGGGAAAGAGAGGGCAAGAGAGAACTTCTTTCAGAACTGGAGTCGTTGTGTTTATTCTCAGATCTCCTTAATCACAGTTGTCCCCTATTACATTTTTTCCCTCCCTGAATGAGACATCCTGTCTGAGTTTCCCGCTTTGTCAGGATGAGAGTGAAGATGTGCCGTCTACAGAATAGTGCTCCTTGAATTGTGCCGACTTGCTTGTTAAATGAGCCTCTGACAACACATTTTTAGTCAGATCCTTGACGTTCTGTTGTTGTTTTCCCAATGTCTTGTCATAAGGAGCGTTGGGCTTGGTTGCTTGAATTCTGTTATTCCAGTCACGGCTAACTTCATTCATTCATGTTGGATGTGGGAGGATTCACAAACATGCTAATGCTAAAAGTCTTTACAATCCATCCATCCATCCATACCAGGGTAGCTAGACAATTTAATCCAATTTATTGTAATACAATCCTATTTCAGGACCCATTGAGAGTGGTATAGAAAATGGATGGATGGACAAAAGCTCTACTATTTAAAACAATCTTCTCCTCCATTCGCCAATTGGACTATGCTAACAAAGAAGCACCTTAGCCATTCAGAAGTTCACACCCGGCCTGTCCTTGTGTTTGTGTGGAGCCTCTCTGAGGAAAGCAATGACACTTTCGAGTTGCTCTATAGCTTACGCAGAAAGCTTTGACCTTGTTTTATGCCCTGATCGGCCATTTAAATTCAAAAGTTAGCAACATTTATGGAGTGCGTGCATGTCATGTGAGTTCTTTCCAGTTTGGATCGATTTGTTCTAACTTCACTGTTCAGTACCTTTGTAAACATAAGATTTTTTTGTGTCAGATTGAGATGTCTGTTCTGAAGAACTTGTAGAAAATATAATATTTCATTGGACATCACAGTTTGAATATGTATGTGTGTTTGAATTTTGGCGTGTGTGGTTGTTCGTATGGGTGTGGCGACCTGTCCAGGGGTGTGCCCCGCCCCTATTTGATAGGCTCCACCCCCCACGACCATATTAGGAATAAGCGGTACAGAAAATGGATGGATGGATGGTACTCTGATTTCCTCCAAAAACATGCATGTTAGGTCAATCACAGAATTTAAATTGACTCGAATTGCGCGGTTGCCAGTCCAGTTTGTCCGTTTATAACAAGATGAAAGAAGTTTTTACAATAAATATATTATTCATTTGTCATTCCTCTGAGACTTCGCTATATTTTCAACTTAATCATCCATCCCGAGACCAAATTTTACTTTGCTGGTTAAAGATATTTAGCATGTTCCATTTAGTTCTTCTAATATCTCTTAATATTAAACAAGTCTAACTTTACACTTATCACAGTATAACATCAGGATGTGCTTTTGCTTGTTAACCCATAAGAACCCACGGTGACAGGTATGATAACCTATGTAAACTGAAATATATTCATTTAAAAAATGACCAATGGAACTTCTGGAAATCACATTTTGTGGTGGTACCCTGAATTTGTATTTAATTTCAATGGGATAAAAGGGTTCATTTGGTCAGTTTTCTATTCCCTGTAAAGTTCTCTTTAGGGAAAAATGGGTCATGGCTCTTACGGGTTAACACAGTGAAAAAAAGACCCATTTCCAAACGGCCTGTGTGGTTTCTGCCGGCAGGATGACGCGTCACTGAGCGGCGGCAGCGAGGCGGAGATGAGCGAGCCGGCGTGGCTAGCAGCCGACCTGCGAGCCGTTTCGGACCTGAGTCCTCCCAACCGCGGAGAGAGGATGCGCCACAGTCCCCAGAACACGCACAGCAAGGAGGACGATGGTAAGAATGCCAACGCAGGCCTCATCGGGCCCCAAAGCAGCATTTCAGCTGGTAAACGGGTTCTGGGATGGACGCTTTGTAACTGACTGAAGCTGTCAGGTGACAAAAAAGAGGTTGTTTTTTTTCTTTTTCTTTGGATTATTATGCTTCCACTCCTGTCCTGGTTTGTTTGTCCTGCTGGCGTTGTCGTTTCTTGTGATATCGCAGCACCAACTGAGAACCGCTTTTAACTCATTGACTGGCAGCCATTTTCAGAACAGAGAGTCCCATACTGCCAGAGTTTTTGGAGCATTTTGACAGATTTTTCAAGAGCCACAGAATAGTTTGTGCTATGACTATGTGAACACCGAACACACCAAAAGAAAGAGTAGACTCTCTTCTTTCAACAGGAAAAAAAATGTGTTTCTACCTTATTCCGTTCTTCCTCGACTTGCGTCTCACCGGCGACATTTCTCGCATAGCGAACCATTGCGTTTTTTTTTATTTGCCTACAGTCTATGCTCATCTCCCATCAAAAGTGGCACAGCTACCTAGAGGGTAAATTTGTTACTACATACTCTGTCTGGAAGTTGATATTTACGAAAAAACTTCAGCCGATCGTCCCACAAGCCACTCGCGTTGAAAAACATAAAAGACGTCTATAGACGTCTTTGGCAGCCAATGAGTTAAATGAAAACCAGATTGAGGGTGACACAATCCAGCAGGTGATGTGTATTTTTTCGTGAACGTTGTCAGATGGCTCTCCTACCGCGGTCGAGATCAGGCTGCTTGATTCTGGAGGAAAGAGAAACAAAGCCCATCCAGTTTCAGTTGGAGGGTATTTGGCTCCGGGTTGTTTGAGAAAGCATTCGTAATTTTTTGGGATGTTTTTTAGAATTCTGTATTCTGTCTCTCTTTTAAACTGGTGTGTTCGTCCTGCTGCCTGTCTTTGTCTCTTCTCGTCTGCCAAGCACACGATTTCCGTCTAATTTGATTGTTTTTTTGGTCTGCAGGGCTGTTTTGAGCCGTCTTGCCAGTAAAGAGCACTCACTTTAATACAGCGAGCGTGTTTTGTGTTGATTCACAGCTGTGTTGCGGAGTAAAGTCCCTCTTTCTAAGAAAATTAAAGAGAAAAAAAACAATGAAACAAGAAAAAAAAGTTCAAATGTAATTAGAATTTTTTTTAGAACAAATATTTCATCCTCTGGTTGAACGCTCTGGTGTTTGGGCATCAATCACAGTGTTTGTGTAGCACATTTCATGTTAATGAGGCAACACCTGAGGCAAAGCGGATGATAGCATTTGGTGGTGATGAAGAAGACGAATGACAAAACTGGAAAAAGAAAGAAAGTTCCCTGAGATTGAGTTTTGATGGGATGACATACGTTTACCTGAGCAGAACCAATCAGGGGAATGGTACTGTGTGTGTTAGATTGTGTGTTAAACTTCTACTGAACAGCAGAACCACAAACTAGTTCCTGTCTTTGATCCTGATGAGTGACAGACGTCAGAAACCCGTTATTTTACAGCAGATTTAGCTAAGCTGAATTCGCCTGAACTCACCTGCTGTCTTTCAACCACTTTGAAAAGCTTTTTCTCGTCCCTATGGTTTTTTTTCATTGTCCCTTTTTGATTTGATGTTTTGAGTGCTTTCTTTTCTGCCTCTCCATCTTTACCTTCCTTCCTTGGATGATTCAAATGAGAATGATCGTGTTCCGGTAGGGACTAATCGATAACGTAACCATGTAATATACACGTGAAAAAAACTTTATTAAATGCAAAAAAGAGGGCGGCACGGTGGTGTGGTGGTTAGCACTGTCGTCTCCCAGCAAGAGGGTTCTGGGTTCGAATCCCGGGGGAACCAGGACCTTTCTGGGTGGAGTTTGCATGTTCTCCCTGTGTCTGTGGGTTCTCTCCGGGTTCTCCGGCTTCCTCCCACAGTCCAAAAACCTGCATGTTAGGCTGATTGGAGATTGGGGAAATTGCCCTTAGGAGTGAATGTGAGTGTGAGTGGTTGTGGGTCCTTGTGTGTCCTGTGTGTGGCCCTGCGATGGACTGGCGGACTGTCCAGGGTGTACCCTGCCTCTCGCCCGTTGACCACTGGGATAGGCTCCAGTTCCCCCCGCGACCCCATGAGGGAATAAGCGGTATTGATAATGGATGGATGGATGGATGGAAATGCAAAAAAGAAAAAAAAACCTTAACCCTATAATGCCAAATGTATCATATTTGATACGGTTTCTGAAGTCTTTCATTCAGATATACCTGATAAAAGCCAGTAGAAGACTACATCAAAATATATATTTGACTTATTGCATGCTAATTTGATCAAAATAATTTCTGTTTTTTTTCTTCATATGTTGTTGAGGGGCCAAAGAAAGACTTCAAGTTCAGACTAAAAAAATGATTCTATTTAATATTCTTCCTATTTTTCTTGGATCAGGCTTTAAAGGGTTAAATGCAAAAAAAAGTTTAAATGCAATTTTTAAAAAAAGACATTAAATAAAAAAAGACGTTTAATGCCAAAAAAAAATAGGTTAAGACATTAGGAAAAGGAAAAACAAACTACATTGACATCTGTTCAGAAGGATTTTTGGTTCTGGCTGTAGTACTGCTCACCATGACTGGACCTTTATGTTTGAGTGCTCTTGAGGGTAAAATGTGAACTCATTTTCACCACCCCACTCCTAGTCTACTAAACTTTTAAGCACCGGGGGGTGGGGTGGGGGGGTCTGGAGCTCTTTCCTCTGATGAGGAGATGCTGGAGCCTGTGGTTGATCTGCCTCTCAGTTAATGTTAGGTGGGTGTTCCTTTTTTTTTTTTTCTTTTTCAAACAGCAAGCGGTCAAGGCATTTAGCTAGAGTAGGCCGCTCGTTTTCCAGAGCAGCAGATGGCCCGCGTGCGCGCGGATGTGCTCACGCCGCGTCCAGAAGCAGTCGGTAAATCACTTTTAAGAGCCTCTGATCACCTACTTGCCTTTTTCCCTCCTCTCGACTTTGCCGGACTTAGCAGCGACAGCTGAGGCGAAAGCCCTTTTGACTCGATCAGACTTAATGGTCGGAAATTTGCGGTCTGCGGATTAATCATCGGTCTATAAAAATCGGTTAAAAGTTGCAAAAGGGGAACCAGCAGGTTGACTTAACCCACAAGAGCCCAGATAAATTTATCCTAAAGAAAAAGTGATAGGGAATAGAAAAACTAAACAAACTCCATTTATCATGTTTTTGAAAATAAAATAAACCTTTGCAAAATGTTGAAGATCTGTGATTTTCTGATGTTCCATAGGCCATTTTTGAAAAATTTATTTTAGTTTAAATGGGTTGTTGAGCCTCTGTGCATCACTTTGGGTTCTTATGGGTTAAGTGCAAGTCGAATCTTGAAAACTTCTTGATCCTAAGATGCGTAACTTTAAAAGATTTTGTGCTATCACAGTGACAAAACATAAGCCGACGTTGGCCATCCAGACAAAATTATTAGTTTTGTAATTCTCTCTCCAAAATCAAATGACAGTAACAGGTGGCATTGGGCGATCGTTAGCTAGTGACGCATTGATTTTGCTCAGTAACTGACAAAAGGTTTCAGTACGTTTAATTTTTGGGGGCGAAAAATAGTGTTTCTGTTGAGCACTGACATGGTTTCGTAGTATGTGTGTAAGAATACAAATGGCAAAACTAGTGCACCGTAGCAACAGATAATAAGTCAGATAGTGCTACCTCAGCCATGTTTGTACTAGTGACCAATAGCATGTTAGCATCACTGCTCACATTTGGAAGTGAAGTCTGATTTTCAGTGAAGGAGGCGTCTGCACACGGGCGCAAGGAAATGAATATGAGTGAACACTCCAAGCCTCTCCATATCTATTTCGCTCCGAGGGCCTGAGCTCTTGAGAAATGGCCTCTCCACTGCCTCTCACTTCTTGCAAAGTGAGCGTCCTCTCATCCCCCTCCTCGCTCAGAGGCTCCAGACGGAGATCCGCGCCGGTTTCCCGGTGGCCTTTTGACCACGGCGGGATGCTGCCTGCTCTCTTCTGCACTGTAGAGCTTCTCAGAAAACGTTATAGCAGACAGATCCTTCCAGCTATTCAAGCTATTTTCATACGTAGCGCGTGCTAGCTTTTGGAGCTTTGCAAGCCACTTGTTTTTCTTTTTCTACTAAAAGGAAGATGCGATAGCTGACACCGTGCCACATAGAGGTTGTTGTCAGTTGGGATGACTAAATGTTATCATATCTATGTAATCAGCCCTATACTATACAACAAATCCCACAATTCCTTTGTGTTAGTTGACAGTCTAAATGTTTTGTAAGTTATACATTATACACAAAGAAATATGACTCAAATTGCACACATTTCTCATACTATCAAACTTATGTATCAAACACGTCTATACTAATGTCTATAAATAAAGAGATCACTGACAAACTGATTAGTAAACATTTCAATATGTGTCTAATTGTGTTCTCATTGTATGCTATAGGGTTTGTCAGTGTGTTTTTGTGATATGCGTCACTGCTGGGCTTCAAAGATTTTAAAGATATCTTGTGCTGGTGCTAACAATTTTTGGTTTTTGTACTAAAAAACCTTAATCCTCTGTTGCACCGGTGTTGTGATCTTAAAAAAGAGCTTAAAAAGTTATTGCACCACCCTGTCTGTATTTTTTTTTGTTAAAACCTCAGCATAGGTTTCCATATTGTGAATGAATTTCCATAATCTAGATAGAACAAAAATGATTACATTTTACAGTAACTAATCTTGGATACAAATGAATATATTAGCATAATGTATAATGCTCTGAAATAGATATATACGGCGTATATTGTTGTGAGCAGCAAAGCCAGATAATCTCTATTACAAGAAAAGCCAAAGAGGATTAACTGTTATTATCTCTAATAAGGAGCTGTTCGTACAGCTAATCTCAGTTGAGATGATTAGTGATATGGACATCTATACTGTGCATAGATG